GTATTAGAAAACCAAGCCACAGAGAAATTAAAAATATGTCCATTCAGCCAAGAATTCTGGAGCCAAAATTCAAATCTAAATCTATCTGGCTTTAAATCTCTCCATTACTCCAGGGGGCCTTTGAGATTTATTAAAGTATGTATTGAGTTTTGGGGAATAAAGAGGCAAAGAGGCAATAAAATCTCAAAGGAAGCACATTCAAGACATAACAGAGGCCTGAAGAGATGTGAGATACACTGAAAGTGTTTAATTATTCATGTAGTACTTCTTAGTACCCATTAGCTATTTTCTAAACATTGCCAAATGTACATATCAATTTGTTTTTTATTTCAGAATACTGTAAAGGGAAGCTAATTTTCTCAGAAAAACATGTAAAATTCAGATGATGTAAAAGTAAATAATAATTTAATGTTGATTTCTAACATGTAACTAGTTTAACTCTCATGGCATTATTGATTACATGACTCAGCCGAAATGAGAGGATTCATAGGGAGTGGGCCCTTTAGGGGCACTAGATCTGTTCATGTACCAGAACAGTTGCTGGAGATACAAGCCATAAAAGAGAACGTAGTGTATCGGCTCCCATATACATTTCCTCTGTTTTTTTCCCAGCACATAACAAGGGTGTTTGCTGAATAAAGCAACACCACTTTCAGGCTCACGTACCATCTCAGTTCTTATGTGATTCTGATAGTGATGTGAAAGACAACTCAAAAAACCCCATTGTCTCTGCTCTGACTATAGTTATTAAATTACTTCCTGGAAAGATGGATATGCTAGCCAAAAAGCAGCAATGGGTATCCACCTTTGTTGTCCAAGTTTTCTGCCCTACTAGACAAGCCAAACATAGGTGCCTCTGAAATTAGTCTTGGACTTCAGAATTGCCCCCAGTCATAATCCTCCTTTGCTTTCTAGGAGACCCAGTCTTTTGTGCTGAGAATTTGTCCTGAGCCCTTATCCCAAGGATTGAACTAACTGTTTGAATGTGGCTTCCCAGCACTTCCCTTGCCAATCTTCCTGGTTACCAGGTCTTTGTCCCATTATAGATACATATTAACTGTGAATTGAACTCCCAAGTTTCAGCTGCCTGCCTGCCTGGATTTCTTCTTTTTTTTTCCCCCAGTTGTTTTTAATTTTATTTTTATCATTTACTTGTATATGTTTGTGAGGTACAGTGTATTGTTTCTATACATGCATATACTGCACAATGGTTCACTTGGAGTACGTAGCATATAGTTCTGTACCTTTATGTTGCTCAGACCAGTATCTATCACTGTGCTCTCTTACTTGAAGCTCCAATATTAGCTGAAATATGACTGAGCCCATATATCACCTATTATCTATTCATCCAGGTGTCACTTCCTGGGTGTCTGACTTGTCCTAGAGGGCAGATCAGACCCTGTCATGGATCCTTTCTCCTCTCTATTGCCCCAATGTTGTTTTGGACAAAACATTATCTGGAGTTGGCATAATAAAAAAGATAGGAATGTTTATGGTAATAGGTCATAGAAAGAAATTCAGAAAAGTAGCTAAATTACAATTACCATATTGGTAAATGTGTATCCTTCTATGAAGACAGGTAGAACACAGCAGTAGGAGTTTCATGACCTAGTGCGATTTAGGAGTCCAAGCAGAGATGTAGACAACTCATGTAAGGGAATTCTGCTGACAGGTTATGGATATCTGGAACCCTCTGGTGTTCCATACCAATATCCCCATCTGCAGAAGATTGGCTGGGCAAGTCAAGGTCTCTTTCTTAGACTGAGCCCAAGAAACATTATTGAAACAGGAATAGAAGCACAAGATAAAGCTCCAGTTTCCAAACTGGATTGAGAAAAGGGGATTGGATTGTAGGTAAACTTCAGATGTCAGGATAATAGAACTGGAGCTTGAGAACTGAAAAAGAAGAAAGCTGAATTGATGGTGATTCACCTGAATATGAATTAGATCTTCTTTAATTGTCCCAGACCAAGATAATTAATGAGTCCCAGTTCTACGAATGATGGTCACATATTGAGAAATTTTTGACTCTTAATTTAGCTCATGGTCTGCCTACTAGGAATATTCTGGTATAAACTATGTTCAGTAAATCAGTAAAATATGACAGGAATGATTTTAAGAGATTTTGCATTTGGGTCATTTATAAATGATTTCTGAATGTATTTTTTACTTGTCTGGAAACCTGAAATGAAAAGGCCATCTTCAGGAAGTCTCTAAGGTTTTTCAAGAAGCCTACATATAAGAAACCAATTTTTTTTCCCTCTTCTATTTATCATGGGGCTAAGATATGGTTAAAATAAACATAGACTGTTGTGATATTATGGTCCGGAATGTGTGTCTCTGTATATGTGTATGTCTCATACCTATGCACAGAACAGTTTGCATCTACATTTATAAACAAGAAGTAAAAGGGGTTCTGCTAACTTAGAACAGTGCCTTATCATCCACAAAGAAGGATTTGAATAGAGGATCAGTTTCATGTCTTTTTTAACATACAATATGTTCTCTGCAGTGTGAATTTCTGAAAAGGTACATGCTGAAGCAATTACTGTAATTTGTTGTAATTTATGAATAGTTCTGGTTAATTTAATCCCAATATTTATTGCGATTCTATTGTTCAGCTTTATAATAAAGTTGAAAGATGTGCAAAAATAAAATATACATTTTCTGTCCTAGGGGAACCTACAATGTAGCAAGAAAAACAATGTAGCAAATTAACTCTGATCACAGTATGAAAAGAGCTAGCAAAGTATATACTGAAAAAGAAACACATAGAAAGCTGTACAGGCATCAGGCAAACACACACACATGCACATGCATACATACACACCCAGAGAATCTCAACAATCGAAAGATAAACAATCCAATTAAAAAGTAATCAAAGGACTTGAATAGACATTTCTCCAAATACACAGATGGCTAATAAGCACATGAAGAGATGCTAAGTATCATTAGCCATTGGCAAATTAATAATCAGATATAAATCAAAACCACTTAACATCCACTAGGATAGATATAATAATAATTTTAAAAGTTAGAAAATAATAAGTGTTGACAAAGATGTAGAGAAATCGGAATGCCTGCACATTGCTGGTGAAAATGTAACATGGTACAGCCACTGTGAAAGTCCATGTGATAATTTCTCAAAATGTTAAACATAGAATTACCGTATGACGCAGTAACTCTACTCTAAGTTATATAAGGGTTATTTCCGAAAGTTCACAGAAAAATAGAATTAAAAGATAAAATGAATCTTTGTGAACCTTTTGAAGTACCCTCTTATAACCAAGAGAATTGAAGTACATGTTTATACAAAAACTTGTACACTTAAGGCTGACCATTTAGATCAGTTGGTTAAAAAACAGTGTCATAAGACCAAGGTCAAGGGTCTGGATTCACTCACCAGCTGCCACCCCCCCCCCTCAAAAAAAAAAAAACAGGAAAAACTTGTACACTTGAATGTTCATAGAAGCATTATTCATAATAGCCAAAACCTGGAATAACCCAATTGTGCATCAGCTGATAAACGGATTTTTAAACATGTAGTATACACCCATGCAATGGAGTATTGTTAAGCCATAAAATGGAATCGCGTATTTATACAAACTACAACATGGATGAACCTTGAAAACACTTTGCTAAGTGAAAGAAGCCAGACTCAAAGGCAACATATACAATTCCATTTGTTTACACAAAATGTCCAGAATAGGCAAATCTATAGACACAGAAAATAGATACATTAATGGTAATCAGGGGCTGCGAAAGAGAAAATGGGAGTGAATGGTTAATGGGTATGAGATTTATTTTTCAGGGTGATGAAAATGTTCTGGAATTAGACAGTGGTAATGATTGCAAAACCTTGTGCATATACTAAAAACTACTGAATTGTAGTGTACAATTAAAATGGTTAAAATAGTGAATTTTATATTATGTGAATTTTATCTCAACTAAAGAAGTACTTCCCCCCGCCACATACACAAACCTACAGAATTTACAATGTAAAGGAAGAAAATTGTACATTCCAAGTGAAAGTACAGTTTGCAAAATATAGGCGTGATGCATTCAATGGGCACCTAAGAATGAGTTTTCTAACAGAATATTTCAAGTGTTCATTCGTGAATTATATTTTTTAAACTGGAAAATACTTTCTGATAGTTCAAATATCGCTGCGTCTTGGGAGAAGTCAGGAAAGATTATATTCAAGTGCTAGGAAACAATTTTCCATGCCCTGTTCTGTAAAGGAAAACTGAAAAATGTATTTATTTCTCACATTTTAACTTCAAGATTGTTGTTCACTATTATTCAAACTTGATTGAATACTTAGATAATTTATCCATATTTATTAGCTCTAGTTTAAATATATTGTAATTCTGAGATTGTTTGATAAAAATTTTATTTTCGTAAGAACAAGGGCATTATTTTAATAGACAATGCACATATTTATATTATATTAATATACATGATTTTAATTCTAATAATGTTTGCATTGGTTCTTTCATGACATTATTCCCATATAAACTCAGGATTTAAGGAATTAACTCATTATTTCCCATAAAACATATAAAAATTATAGTACTTTTTAAGAAAATAATTACTTAAGAAAGTACTTTTGGTAACATATCTAACCTTTGTTTCTTAATTGAATTAAGGCAAGCATTAGAGCTATGAATATGTTTAGAAAATACTTTCTAAAAATACCCTCAAAATACTATAATCTGTAGCTTGCTTCTGAATGGATTTACCACAAAGGCTTTCCTACACATTTTATTTTTTACTTATCTATTATTTATTAGTTAATGCAGTGATATATAAAAATTGAGATCTATAAATTGTAAAGTTTGACAAAGAATGCCTATGTTCTCTTTTTTTCATTTTAAACTTAGGTTATTTCATTCATTTAGATGTTATGTTATCAAAATAAAGGAGGAAGACATACTACCTATTGATTTATTTGTTCATTAGTTTATATAATAGATAGGCAATGACCCCATTCTTGGACAATGCACTTGGGCCAAATATACTTGTTCCTGTTCCTTTCATTTCTTTGTGATCATATTTTCCAGTGAAATAGCTTTTAAAACTAGTAAAAGACTTATACAATTTGCTTTATAAATTTTGTTTCTATTGATGATTATTTACATTTTAAGAGGTCTTTGTTTCTGGACTGTGCTACACAATTGCAGTAGGCATATACAAATAATTTGTGTGTTTTCTATTTTTTGTAGATTCTACAAAGAAATTAAAGGATGTTCTTGAAGAATTCCATGGTAATGGTGTGCTTGCAAAGTATAATCCTGAAGGGGTAAAACTTCTTTTTTTTCTTTTTATAAGTTTCATATATATATACTTGGAGGGGAGTATTTCTTGAAGAAGAATTCGTGGAAATATGTGTATGTGTATATGTATGCATGTATATGTATGTGCATGTGTGTATATATATCACGTTTGTGTGTGTATATATATATATATATATATATATATATATATATATATCACATACCATAAATCACATACTACATGCCATAACATAAACAAAATGAAGTTTATAACTAAATGCAATTCTGGAAGACATAATTAAAAGTTGTACTACATTTTTCATCCAAATGTTTTGCTAATGAAAATAACACTTCCATAATGTGTGCTTGAAAGAGCTTGGATCATTTAAACATAATGTTAAGTTCTTTTCCTAGAAGTCAGAAAAATGGATTAGATAAAAGGGAAAGATAATACACCTGGCTCTCACTCTACCTACAAATTTTAACCCCAAATGGACTTTGGGGCAAGGGGGTTACTCCTTTCAGAGAATGATGTTCTTGACCAAAGAAAGAATTTGTGATGGATGTAATTTGTTTATCATCTTAAGGAACAAGTTTGGATAAAAAGAGAGGAAGTCCGTCTCCTATCTTGTATTTAATCGATTATCATTAAGCTTACGAGTTCCTGAGGTTCTTTCCTTATAATAATTTTGCATGTACTGTCAGTTGCTTTTGAACACCATGATTGGACAAATGCCTTTTCCCTAATAAAAAATAACCTTCCATTTAATATTAGTTGAGAGATGTTACATTTTAAATGTTTGATCATCATTACTGTTAGATCATTTGTAGCTTCACTAGGTGATGTTTGAGTCAATTGGAGTAAAAACTGTTCTTTGCAAAGGACCCTTCTGTCTGGATAAATCATTCAGATAGATTTGTTCGCTGGTTAAAACATGCTTTGTTCTTTATCATTGTTGTTTTGTTTGTGCATGTTTACAAGAGCACAATTCTTGGTTTTGGTTATCTTTCAATATTATACCTCACAGTTCTTGGTTATATTTTAATATTATACTTCTCTGGGATTAATAGAACTTAAGTTTAGTTATTATAGCCTAAATCTCTAAATTCCAACCTCAAAACATTCATATTGTTTAATAATTTCTTTTCAGTAGTTCTCATAGTTAGCTATTTTTTATGTCGTATTTTCTTATTCTCTCTACATTCTGATATACGAGTATTACTTTTAAAACTATTTACCCTAAAATTTATTTTAAACAACTAATTAATATTTAATGCCTATAAATAATGGGGAAAATAAAAGTAACAAAGTTATCCCCATTTTCTTATATCAGGAAAAAAACAGATGTCTTGCCTGCATTTCTCTCATATTTTATTTTCTTAGATGCTATAGCGTAAAAGAAAAAATGCTGTCCAGTAGAATTGTAGAACTGAAAATCTCAAAACCCAAGAAAGCAGAGTGAGAAAAGTAAAAATGACAACTTTAAGGCCCAAAATGTCATTAATATTTACGTTTACAACATTACTTGAAAACATGCATTCTTATCTAACATATACACATAGATAAAACCTGTTTTTTTTCCTTAATAATAGCTGCTAACTGTAAATTCAATTGGAACGTAATCTTGTTTGCAAAGTAGCCTTTTTTGCTTCAATGATTTCTTATGTAAAGAACTCTAATGACTTACTCTTACTGATATTATACATTTCATGAGGATTATCAGTCAATGTATACTGGATTTATTAAGGTAATTATTAGATTCATTATTGAACACACATGTGATGTCAACCTTTTCATAATGTAATACCTCGCCATAAATGCACAGATCTGCTGTTGAAATGCATCATTAAAGTAATGGAGAGTTCAAAAACAAAAAGCTGGATCTCATTATGACCCAAGAATAATTCTAAATTAAGAGTTGAAGCACCCTCTGATCTTAATATTGACAGAAATTTTTCCTTCAGGAGAAAATTTTAGTTTACCTGACTCTCAAAAACGAGTATGCATTTTATAAAAGCCAATAGAAAATAATTAGGAATATACAATGTTGAAAATGAAATCTTTAAGTCCTTGAGGTTCTCTTCAATACTTGAACTCATCCAGTTTATATAAACTTACTCTTACAATATTAAAAAAGTTCCTACTGTCAATTTATATGTGAAGTTATCACTATTGACTGGTCAAGTTGAGCCGAAAGTTATTTGGCATGGATGTTTACTTATCGACTGCTCAATTATACAAGAAAAATTAGAAAAGTGATTAAATCAGCCAGACTTTAGAATGAATAATCAATCTTTTGTTTTCTAAAATAAATATGGCTGTATGATCCATATAAAATGTACTTGCAAAGAGAGAATAACATAAATATCCCTTAACTTTCTTCTCCCTCTACAAAGTAAAGCTGCTTAAATGGTAAATGTATTATTTTGGTATAATCAGATTGAATCACTGAATTTTGAAAGTGCTGTGTATAAAAACTTAACCTGTTCAAGTCTATTCTAATAGCAAAAATATACTGTGGCATATGTGGATGAGTCTTTTATTTTTAATTCCTGCCTTTTAATGATTATTGGATAATCTCTCCTTGAATAAATGAATAAAAGAAAACTAAACAATAACCTTAAAGATTCTCAAAAAATCTTAAAAAGGCCTTGGGAATTCCAAATCAATAAAATTACAAACTTTTACATAAAGAAACTTATTTTAAGAAATGTAAAATGACTGTTCCAAAATTAATCAGTTAGGCAAATGACAGTAACTACAATTAAAAGCTAGTTTTCTAGGATCCCAGTTGAGGGCCGATGTCCTTTGCTCTTTACTTCACTGACTGGGCCATAGAATGTGAGGGAAAGTTCTGGTAGATAGGAAAAATAATAGAAGAAAAAGGTATTGGATCGCATTGCTTATGTAATGAGTGTAGCATATCCCAGTATACATAATTATTATCACTCATGCCTGATAGTAAGACATTTCTGTTAGTCTTCACCTAATCTTATGTGAATAATATAATATTAAGGGTATGATTAAAGCCAAGAACCAGTTTGTAGCTGAGAACCAGTCTTAATGAGAAGGTCACAATAAAATACAGGACATATAAATGATCTCATAAGAGAAGGAGAATGTGGTAGTTTGAGAAACAACAACAACAACAACAACAACAACAACAAAAACAGTTTGGCATTGCATGCAATTTTTTTTTTTTTTTGTACTGGATTTCAAATTCAGTTCCATATTGTTTCATTGATATCCAAAATAATGGGAAGGAAATGGTAGCTATACAGAGAGATATAGGAGAGACTAGTTGTATTATGCTGTTAAAAATATTAGGAGTGAGGACTAAGTATTCATAATCTAATATACCTTTTTACACACTGTTTTATTTTCATTAATCCTTTCTGAAAGGTTTTAATCATACTGTATGTGTTATTCATTATATTTATCTCATGTCCATTAGAACTGTTTGCTTATTATATTCAAGGATCAATCTAGTCAATGGTTCTCAAATTTTAGCAGCTTTAGCATACATCAGAATCACCTGGGGAGCTTGTTAAAACATGAATTGCTTACCCCTCTACCTCCCAAGTTTCTGATTCAGTGCTTCTGGAGGGGGGCTCAAGAATTTGCATTTCTATCAATTTCCCAGTCAATGTTGATGCTGCTGTTTTGTAACCACATTTCGAGACCCATGGATCTAGGGTATGTTTTAAAATCAATCTGTAAACTGGAACTTTTAGTTAAATTATCAGAGATATGAGATAATGAATATAAATTATCTTACATTAACACATGTATTCTTTCTTTCCTTTCATGCCCAGAAACAAGACATTCTTAACCAAGTAAGACATTTTCTTTTCTATTAAAGTCTGTCATTTCTTTTTTTTACCTTGATATGAACTATGAATTTCTCATCCATATCACTGAGCTGTACTACTGTATCAAAAAGATTCATATAGCATTCAAGATTACCTATAATACTTATAAAATAACTGACGTGAAGTGTGACTGAAATTTTTTCAAGTCAGTCAAAGTCTCAAATGGAGGAGCTGGTACCTTAATAGAATTAATAAATTCTATTAATAAGAATTAAATAGAATTAATAAAGGTCCAGAATGTGGGCTTCAGTTTCATAAACTCTGAAATTTAATTTTCTAATTTCACCAAGACATATTAGGCTTTGCTAAAATGATTTATTTAATAAATGTCTTATTTATTAATTTACAGTGGGGGATTTAAAAATTACAATTAAGCCACAATTATAAGGTTTTTTTTTGTTTTGTTTTGCTTTGTCTAGTGTGCTGTGTTAGAGTCTGTGGAGGAAATATAACTGAAAAGCTATTGATTTTGTCCTCCTGGGAAGAAGAGTAACCAATCTGTTGCTTCAGCTACTCTCTCCTACTAAGTCCATTTTGTAAAATAAGTTTTAGGTCCAATAGTTCAGTTGGGTACATAGAATTACAACACATTTTTGGGTGTTCTAAATGGATATTTCTTTTCTAATACACTATACATTTTTTTCTTAATTGACATGATTGTAAGTATTTATGGCACACAATATGATATTTGGTACACAATATGATATAGAGTGAATGATCATGTCACGGGAATTAGCATATACATCACCTCACACATTTGTCATTTCTTTGTGTTGGGAACATTTGAAATCTTCTCTACTAGCTATTTGAATTTACACAGTAAATGGTTGTTAACTGTAGCCTCCCTACAGTGGTATAGAATGGATATTTCTATCACACTAGCATAGCTATATTAATTGTCTTCACAACTTTAGGAATATTTCTTACAAAAATGGATGAATTGCCTAAAACCATAATATTGTCTCCTTTGATAATGGATATGTATTAGATGATTCTTATTCTCAAGTTTTCTGATGGGTTTAATGACAACAGCACTGCAACTTTATGCCCAATGTGTAAAGGATAATTATGTGAAAATGACCATGGTGGACTTAGGTACAGGGCCTACATATTACAGCCTCCTAGGATGAGGCACCACTGATGTGCCATCTCATTGCCTGTGATGAGATTTACTAGCCCCCATTACAGAGGATAGCCTTTCCCTGATTTCATCTCTGACCTTTGTAGAAACATTAATTCCCCCAATGGCTTTATGATACTTAGGAGGCAACTGCTCAGAATGAATGGTTGGTTTTTTCTTGAGTGTCTACATTATCAGGCCTTAGCCATTTATTTTATTTTATTTTATTTTTTGTCTTTTTCGTGACTGGTAAGGGAATCACAACCCTTGGCGTGGTGTCTCCCACACCGCACTCAGCCAGTGAGCGCACTGGCCATTCCTATATAGGATCCGAACCCACAGCTGGAGCGTCGCTGCGCTCCCAGCTCCGCGCTCTCCTGAGTGCGCCACGGGGCCAGCCCAGCCTTAGCCATTTAATAGCATTTGTTGAACACCCTTGGTCAACAAACACACCCTTCTGCATGACCTTCGTCCCCACTAGAGGCTGTCTGAAAACTGGTGTCAAAATCAGCTCGAGCTATTTTAGTAGTCAGCAGAGTGAGTTATTTCCTTCCTTTTCTTTGCCTAGTCTTTGTTCCACGAGTACTTGTTTAGCAGCCAAGTGATGGGCAAAGCTGAGGACAACCAAAGGGAAAAGAAATGAGAGCATGCGTATTCTATTGCTCCATGTGTGTTCTTTGTCAGTGTAGGACTTTGCCTGTACATGTTTCATGACTGTAGATAATCCATGGCCAAAAGCTGAATTTTGCTTTAGGCCAAGGGGGTATGTAGAATAATTAGCTCAGTGTCTGACACATAGTAGATGTTCCATTAATATTTAGAGACAGTGTCTGTGATCATACTTTAGTGACCAACATTACTTCATACAAATGTTTTGGAGCATGTATCAAAGGTGAAAATAGAGGGTGTCTGAGACACCCCCAACCAGTCCTGTATCCTAACTTTCTCAGGGCCTCATTCTCTCATTTTAAAATGAGGAAGTATAACCCCAGTGTCTTTTCCAATTCAAAAAGAATTTCCTTCCACCATGGGAGCTGGGTATGTGACACTTGTTTCTGCTGCTGAGACTGGCTGCAGTCCTAAGTGCTGTGATGGTTGTAGACTTGCTGTGTCTGTTGTATTTGTTCCACCTCCCACAAATGCACGGTGTCAGGACAGTTAACGAGGGACAGAAGTGGCATGTTAGCCAGCATCTCTTCTGCTTCTCTTCCCAGTTACCCTCTATTTCAGTTATGCTCCTCTTATTAGGCCTGTCTACAACCAGAACACAGGCTCGAAAAAACATCACCGCACTGGTCTCAAAGTGCCTAATACAATCCCATGTTATTAACCTGATGTTGACAATGTATTAAATATTTTTGGAATATGTAGTACTTGTTATTTCAATATGTGGCCTCAACTGTATGCCTTGATACTCAGAGAATTGCTGTAGCATAGAACAGAACCACCTCCAACAATTTGGGAAAGTATTTCCATAGATATTTAAGAGATTATTTAGTTACATCATAATTGAATCAGTTTGAGTAGCTTCTTGTAGGTTTCTAGTAACTGCTCTAAGGATCAAATATCAATATTTACATAAGTGCACTATCTTATATCTATGAAAACATTTAGAATTTGAGAATGAACCATCTGCTACAGCTTATCCTTCCCTGAGAGCTTAGATGCTTGGATTAATGATTTGACTGAAGTGGCCTGGTGTTATCTGTCACAATTGATCCATTTCTCCCCTAATCTGCTCTAATAAACAAACAGAAATTTTAGAAATAGATAAATATTTAGAGTAAAGTGTAGTTATACCAATTGTATTTAATTGCTTATTTATTTATTTTTTTTAACAAATGAGTTTAAAAGCAAGCATAAATACATTTAGAAAATAAACTAGTAACTTTCCTTAGTTTAATAATAATAGACAACTTTGGAAAAAAGTATCTAAACACTCAATGTAGATATTTTTGTTCTTTCATTTCTTTAATAATATTTATGAAACAATTTATATAGGAGTTAAAAACCAGGTTAGAAGAAAAAGTGATACTTGGATTGTCAGGAAATCTTTTTGTACTTTACTGAGGAGAAGTGGAACAAACAGTACTTTCCCACTCTAACTTTTATTTTTAGGGTTTTGTCTATTGTTTTTTTCTTTGTTTGTTTGTTTTCATCATCAGGAATAGCGTTTTTTTAGCAGAAGAGCACTAAAGGATGCTAAAGGAAAGTAAATCTAGATATTTTGGTAGAAAAAGCTTAGAATATCTAAGAATTTTAAGGTTTTTTTTTAACAGGTAAAATAAATCATAAATAGTATTTTTAAGATTAGTAAGTTAAATTTTCCACTTAGAAAAATACCTCTAAAGGCAATTTGGACAATAGACTTGAGAAGAAGAGGAGACTAGGTATGAGTTATTGAAGCAGTCCCATCAAATGAAGAACACTTAGATGGCAATGGGTGTTATAACGGAGGCTGGGGACACATTTCCAGCACATGTCAAATGCAAGGCCAATGGTAGTAGGTTACACTTGGAATGTCAAAGTGTATGAAGAGTTATATAGTCAATGCATAATTTTCAAGAATGGGCAACTGAATAGCTATAGTATTACTTTTTATTTTTATACCTTATTTTATGGTTATCCCTTTTGTTGAAATGGCAGGCTTATTGTTGGACAATTTAATACACTTTTCTGAGCCTCAGTTTCTTTGTCCATAAATAGGACTAATAATAATATATACCTTTTGGGTTGTTATGACAATTAAATGATAGCATGCCCACAATGTACTGAGCACAGTTCTTAAAACACAGTAACATTTAGATAGAGTTTCCCATATACGTAGCTAACATTTTAATCAAGTTTCTAACATCGTCTTTCTATTTAGGGATAATAGAGATCATTGACTGTAAAGATTAAAAGGAAAGAGTGGAGGTTTTGAGAAGGAGATTGGCATAAAAACACCCACCAATAGGACATAAATATACAGAAAAAGTGAAAAGCATTTGGAACAGAAAGAAATTATTGGATTGCATCTCAAATGCTCTTGCTTTTGCATGTATGTTACATAGTGGAAATTGGGTCTGGTCCTGTGGGAGAAATAGAAATTGTCAAGATAATCGTTGCTATCAAAGAGCATCAGACTGTTAAATCTGTTTTATAAATTGCTGAGAAAATGCTTCAACCCAAGGAATTCTTTTTTTTAAAAAAAATCTATTTTTAATTGATATGTATTGATTGTACATATTTAAAGGGTGCAGAGTTATATTTCAATACATGTGTACAATGTGTGATGACTAAATCAGGGTAATAAACATATCGATCATTGCAAAATTTACCATATCTTTGTGATGAGAGAATTTGAGCTCCTTTCTTCTAGCCTGAGAACATACAGTGAATTATTTTTAGTTATAGATGTGTAGCACTACTGTAGACCACTGGGAGCTCTGAAATTTGAAGTAATGAACTGTCAATTGCCACTACAAGATACACACAAGAAATGAAATATTGAAAAATACAATTTTTTTCTGAAAGTATTTTAATACCAAAAAATGTATGTTTGAAATTTCAGAAAGTTATTCCTGTTACATATTTAACATATTTACCTCAGCTCAACAGCCTTCACATCAATTTTCAATTTAACATAATTAGTTAATGACATAAATTAGAATGCAAAATTAAAATGGAAATGGTGAAATAAAAAAACACTGGATAATTTAAATTATTGCCTACCTCATTTCATCAGAGTTCTTTTGCCCAGGTACTAACACAGTATTTTATACATGTAAGTACTCAATTAACACTTGTTGATAGATAAATTAAAGTCATTCCTTTGTTCATGACTTTGCATATTTACTTAACCTGTAATAGTTGAATGATTTATTTTGTGTTTTAAAGGTCATTTATTAATTAACTCTGTATACAAGTTGGTTAAAAAATGTGAAGCTGAACGTGACTATCTTCTGTCTGATATGGAGGAATGCTATTATGATCCTACGATCTTGTTAAAATATGAGTCAGACCATTGTGATCTGCTGAGAACCCTCCAAAGACTTATCCTCTCACTTTACATTAAAGCCATAATTCTCTAAGTGAATCATTGTACTATATATCCATATATTGAAAGAACACACTGTACCCCACAAATAGGTACACTTAAACTTTAAAATAAAAACATGTTAAAAGTTGTAACTCTCTTTTGATAGCCTAATATCCTACATGCTCTGCCCCAGTTCACATGTCACCAAAAATCTTATCTTTGACCCTATCTCCTACTACTCTAGTTCTCCCTCCCTCCTGCTCCTCCTCACTGGTTCCTTATATAAATTCCTCTAAAATAGGAGTATTCTTATACCTCAGGACCTTTGCACTAGCTCTTTTTTTCCATCTGGAATATTCTTTTTCCAAATATGTGAAAACTTCTCTCCCTCATAACCTTTAAATCTTTACTCAAAAAAACAGCTTCTTATTTCAAATTTAAGACTGCAAGCACAACCCCCCCCCCCAGGCAAATATATAACTATAAATCTTTTCCTTCTTTTTTTCTATAGCACTTAATACCAAATGCCATCAGACATGTTACATTTAGCACAATTATTTTGCTATTTTCTGTTTTCCCTCATTAGAAGGTAAGCTCTCTGATGTAAGAATTTTTGCTTGTTCCAGTAACGTCTTTACCTCAACACCTAGAACGGAGCCTGGTAGTTCATGCATGTTCAATGGATATTTGCTAAATATGAGAAGATTCCCAATCCTAAACTGCCAAAAGAAAGTGAAGTAACAATAGAGTGATGACGTTATTTCCACTCACTTTCACTCTACTTGGATGAATACTTGTGTTCTTTCTTTAGTATTAAAGGAATTTAAAAACAAAGGATCCAGATGGCCAGATATAACAATGAAAGGCATATAGAAATGTGTTTTGAATTTGTGCCAACTTGGCAGCAACATCTGAGCAGCTCCCTCGGTCTGTATTCTTTAGGGATTCTCTATGTTATCTCCCTAAATAGGTTGTGGCTGTTCCTTAAGAAAATAAGAAATAAAAAAATAATAATAACGGTTTTTAAATTTTAACATTTGTGAAATTGTGTGTTCGAGCTTACAGCCAACTCGATTTTTTAAACACTCATTCCATTAAATCTGACCCAATTTTTCTCATTAACATTTTCATTGATATGCATATAAATGATCTCATTCTATTTAAAGGTCGCAATCTTCAAAAATCAGTTCTAATGCAGCTGCGTGACAGCAGTAGAAATTCTGATACCTAAATCTGGAAATTTTCTGCAAAGTCATGAGGTAATGAAAATATGTAGATTGAGGACATATTCATTTTGCAGAAATGTCCAATAATTTGGAAAAATAGAATTTTAGGAGATATTTGAAATTCTTTTACTAAGAAAAAAATAAAGGGGATGGGTTAATCAGGCAAGGCATTGAAGGACAATTCCTGCATGAATCGGAAACACTGAGTCAGCTAACTTTGGGCCATAAAGAAATTTAGGTTTTGCAATATTGTACGCCTTGGGTAATGCCAGAAAATGTAAGAGAAAGGAGGCTTGCTTCCAAGAACATGGTGAAAAGTTGAAGAAAGAAGTTTACATTGTCAGTAAAATTTCAGCAATAAATAATATGACATCATCCTGTAGAAATCATTTAAGAACTGAGAAAATTTTTAGTCCATTCTTATATCTGTAATAGGATTTTACTTTTTAAATTAAGATACCTGTTTTTAAATCTTTGCCTTCTGAAAGCAGTAATTGGTCACTGTTGCCTGATATAGAACAATTATAGCAAAGTATCTAAGACATGCCAAAACTGTAGTTTTGATTTGGGAAGATTCAGTGAATTTCCCATTTTACTGCATCAATAAAAAGGCAAATTAAGATAGCAAAAAAATACATCTAACCTCAAGACAGTGATTCCTTTTCCTTATTCCTTTTATTTTATTATTTTATTTATTTTATATACTGTGTGCCCAATAATATGTTAAGTGCTTTACATCAATTTTTATTACATTTAGACAATGACCCTGAACAGTTGATCTCATACATCACTTTATATGGAGGAGGTTAAAGCTTACAGCTGTCAGAAAATAAAATTAAAGCTGAGATTTTTGTTTGCTGAGCAAGAGAACTATGACACTTGAGATACTTCAGAAGTCTACAAAAAATTGTTTTCTCTAATGATATCCCTAAATGTCATATTTTATTTTAGGTTTATTCTAAATAATACAATAATAAAATTAATCATTCTCCACCATCTTTCCCCAATATCATGACATAGGAAAAACAGACCTTTTCTTTTCCAAAATAAGTTTAGGGAATTAATTTTATTCTCACCTGCCAGGAATTTGAGCAAAATTAAGAACACCCACCTGCCAATTTTCATTTTTGTCCCATTTTTTGTTTCATCTCAGTACATTAAACTGGTAAGAAAAAAATGCCCTTCAAGTGTTCCCTATGAAACTTGTACTCCCTTGTACTCTCTTGATCTGGACAGATGTGGCTTTATTCCATCTTCTTCTCTGTAATTCTTCTAGTCCTTTCCAATGCCCTCCTGGATAGGACCCAAGACAACTCCACCAGCCTTCTCTTCCATATGGTTTACATCTGTTTCTCAGAAAAGACTCATGCAACTTTGTTTCTGCAGTCACAGAGAGTTCTGGCCCAGCCCCAAACAGTACCATTCACTTGCCTTTGTCTCCAAAGCACTCACACACTTGTCCTCAGTTTCCCAGGCAGGGGTCAAATCCTGACCCCCTGTCCTCTCCGGTAGCTCCTGTGAAACCCTAATGCTTGAGGTTAGAAAGTGGCTTCAATCACCATTTTCTCAAGTAGACATGGAACCCCTCAATACCTCAGCAATTCTCTCCAAATAAATGTCTCACCATTTATAGTTCTACAATGAGTTAGGGTGTGTAAAAATCTCAAAATATGTTTCTTTGAAGGTCTGCATATGAAGTTTTGGAGTGTTATGTCAATTGAGCTTGGTGTTTAGTTGAAATGTTAATGTTAACCTCTTTCTACAGTTGTCAGAAGCAATAATCTCTATTAGCGACAAGGAAAGGAGATGGAAAATTTCATTTTTTTCTGAGTGCTCGCTGTATGTGTGCGTATGACTCTGCACTGGTTACCCACATTAATTGCCTGATTTAATCATCATGACAACTCTGAGGGATTGAGGATATTATTCCCAATTTACAGAGGAGAAAACTAAGTTTCAAAGAGTAAATTTTTTAAGGCCATACGTATACTGTGGAAATAGAAATATCTAATGGGAAAGCTGCTGCTCTTTCTGCTACACCACCACCGGTGAGACAGGTACAGTATACACATTCCATGGATAAATGTTAGCCTACGACTGCCCAACCTATTTCTCAGGTAGGAATTTCCTTTTGTAGATCTCAATATAAAAATTGAGGTCATTTCTGTTGATACTGATTTTGAACATAGTAAAAAATCTTAACATTTGGCTGCATATTAAAATACATGTTTAAAATCTTTTTTTCAGACAATAGATTTTGAAGGTTTCAAGCTATTCATGAAGACGTTCCTGGAAGCCGAGCTTCCCGATGATTTCACAGCACACCTTTTCATGTCATTTAGCAACAAGTTTCCTCATTCTAGTCCAATGGTAAAAAGTAAGCCTGCTCTCCTTTCGGGTGGTAAGTTTATTTACTTTAAAAATTTATATATAGTAAAAATTTCAAAGGCTAAATCAGTATCAAGTTTTCGTAAGAGCGAAGAGGAAACATTTTTGATATGTTGTCTGTGTAAATAATTGTATCAGACATAGAAGAAAGAGAAGAATTTCTAATAACTTAGGTGGTTTTGTAAGGAATTTAAATCTCAAACTTCCTTTTCTTCTAATAGCATATGTTAATTGCTAACTAGAAGATGTCAGAATTACTAGGAGTACAAACCAAATCAGGTTCTAAAATGGAAAAAAATAAGGAAGAACAGATTGCACTTCACTTGGGACAATTGTATATTGTGCAAAGAACTCCTTGACAGGAATATGGGCTGTGTGACTCTCATGCAACACTAATAAATTAAACTCTGATTCTTTCTTGAAACTTGGCCTCCACATTTTAGAACTAAGTGTGTGCCATCCTTCCCAGGACTATTTCTAATCCTATATTCTTTTCAGAACTACCTCTGATAGTATTTTTCTGGGAAATAAGGAACACTAAACAACAGTAAAAATGTTCAAAGGCTGAGGTAGCCTTGAATCAGAAACTGAAAAACATAAATGTCTGTCTATTCCTAGAATTTTCCTTTGTATTAATCTGTTACCTAATGTACAACAAGGTGCATTTTTGGTTGAAAAATCACAAAGTACATTTGAACAAAAAGGTGCTATAAGCTGCTTTGTTTATCCCCTGTTGGAGTTCACTTTACTTCATTACCACAATGCCAGCAGGAATATGATAGCTGTTCTTTACTCTTTATATCAACTGAAAAATAAGAGCTTCTCAATAAAAAGCAAAACTGAAAAGGAAAAGATGTTATTCTCATTAATGGACAAGAGTCAAACATAAGAGATATGGTAAAAGTAAAACACTTAGTTTTCATAGAATAAAAATAAAAATAATAATGATAAATAGGTACAAAGCTTGTACCTGTATATGTGCGCAGGTGTGTAGCTGTGTTTGGTAATACCTAATGATCCATCTCGCATTTCACGAAGTGGATGATTCATTTTTGTGAAATACTTTGTTGCAATATAAGTGCATCTCATCACCTATTTAAATATAAGGTGATTCCATATTGGACTTTTGATTTTTCAAAATATACCTAATACAGTATCCTTTACATTTTCTCATATCTCTTGTGCCTCATTTTAAACGCCAGGTCCCCAATCTCTCACTTCTTTGCTAGACCAGAACTTAATTTCATCCTTAGATTCTGTCACTTGAACTACTCTATACAAACTTTTCAACCAGTTGGAACCTTTCTTTTTCTGCAAGTGGCTCACAAACTCTTAACCATGAATCAATATTATGATCTCATATTTCAGTCCCTACAACACAAACACTAAGCATTACCAGAGAGAGATTTCATAAATATGCAGATTGCTGATACTGTAAATTCCTAATAGTATTTACATGTCCTTAAAACTTATTATTCAAATTTTTTAAAAAATCTTTTGTAAAAATTATTTATTATTGGCATTGTCCCCTAGAGTAATGGCTTTAAAATTCTCACAACTCCTTACGTTTATTCAAATCTTTCCCCTCAGTCTCAACAGATGACATTTTTTTCATATAATATAAAAAACAGTCACTGTCAGACATAAATGCCTCAATGACTCCCCACACAACCCAGAACTATTTCTTCGGCTCACAAAAAATATATATTCACTATATTTCAAATGAAACTCTTTGTCTTGATTTCCCATAAGATATCCAACTAACTGTGACTGGAAATTAACTAATGATATTTGACTGAAACCTGCTTCTATTCCTGTCTTCTATTCCTATGTTTGGGTGAATGGCACCCAAGAATCTATCCATTTCCCAACCCTAAATACTGGACTCTTCCTACTCTCCTCCACCTCACTCCTTATATTTGATTAATCACAAAATGCTCTCTACCATTCATTATAACTGTTTCTTCACTGAACATTCTGCCAGCGTCGTAGTTTGACTCGTCATTGTTTAGGTCATAGATTATCAATTAGCACGGCTCCCTTTGGCCCCACCTTCCCATCTCCAAAATGTTCTTTCTAACAGAAATCTGACTATATTGCTCATGAGTTTCCAAGTTTCAGGCCTTCACTATCTACTATTATAGTATATTTTTTATTAAACTTTATTTTTTAAGCAAACATAAATCCTTGATATTTAAAGCAGAGTTGCTTTGGTGAAGGGAGTTGGTTCAGAAGAGATATGAGTATATAGGGTCACCCCCACCTTTTGAAACACCCCCTCCTGAAGTGACCTGAAGGTCATAAGACCTTAATGAGACTCCAGGGCCAGGCAACACAATAGAGAAGATGATAAAATCTGAGATCCCTAGTGTGAGGTCTGCCTGCAGCTCTAGTTCTCTCTGTCTCCCTGCCCCAGGCACCCCAGACCTCGCTCACATCCAACTATTTTCTGTGACTTAACCCTGCTTTGCTTACCTAGGACTCTGTGCTTTCTTGTTTAATGTTTTTTCTGCCGTTATCTCCACAGCAAAGCTCAACTTCACAAATAGTTATCTAAAGCTTCACTCAAATTAAATAGCACACATTGTGTTCCACGCTAGGAATTCAGTGATCAATGGGTCAGCACAGCTAGAGCGTGCAACAGGGAAGCAACCCTGGCACCCCGTACAAGACACACCATCTGCCTCTTGTAGCATCTCTGTCCCTTCCCATCCCCACCCATGCCAGCTCCACACAGACACTCTGGGAATTAACTGCTTTCAGCTAAATGATCTTTCTGTTCATATATGACAACAATTAACAGCAGTTATTAGTAACTGTTAGTTTTCAAAGAATGTAGTATTAGAAGAGGATGTAATATGATTTATTAACTCATTTAAACAGTCATACTATTGATTCCTATTGGGCTCTACAATGTTCAAAATGTTGACTCTATAATAGTAAATGTCTGGTATTAGCCACAGGTCAATGTAAGAGTTTTTGTTGGTATTTTTTTTAGTTGTTTTATAAGATAGAAAGAGATTTTCCTAGTACACTTTATATCAGATTATGTCTTTAATTAATTAGTTGTGCCATTTAGTTATTCATTTTATTCAATCATTAACTCACATGCATCAACCATCCATTTATTTAAACACATTATATACCAGGAATTCCTCAGGAAAGCTGAGGATTCTTTAAGCAGGAAGATAGACATTTATCTGACCAGTTGTATTACAATAAAATAGATGCTGTGATCCACTTACAAACTGACTACGAAGAGAGTATGGTGAAGGAGGCACCCATGTGAGACTGGAGCAATGGGAGGGGCGCCATTGCAGGAGTCGTGTGACTGGAATTTTAAGTATAGATTGGAGTTATGTAGGTGAAATGGGCAGGCAGGGGGAGGAGTACTGGTGGGAAAGGATGGGAAGGGAGTTCCAAGAAGAGAAAACAACATGTACATTTCACTTTAAATATCAAAAAGGCATGTCCCATCAAAGGGCAGTGCATAAGCCATAAGACATTCAGTACTTACTAATTCAGAGTTGATCACTTAGGATGTGCCACTTACTGTTCAGGTTCCTGGGGGTACGTCGGTAAGCAAAACAGAAGCCCTCTCCTATAGTCACTTACATTCTCATGGAGAAAGACAGACAAACAAGTAAATATGTAGAGCATGTGAACTGGTAATAAGCACTATCTGCAAAAATAAAAAGAACAGGAGATAGAAAGTGCAGGTAGAAGCTGAGGCTGGCTGGGAGTCTGGGATTCTGATGACTCACCTAAACTGGGATAAAGTCATCTCAGAAGTTCATTCCTTTTGGTCCCAGAGCAGATGATGGTCATGATCATGTAAGTGTCGAGCATGGCTTAAATGCGACACAGGGGAGAGGGCCTGACAGGATCAGAGTCCTGAGGACCTAAAGAAGTTGGAGGGAGGTAGACTTCATGGGAGCACTGAGAGGTCTGGGTCTGAGCCTTGCCTACATTTGGGCTGGGGCAGGTAAAGTGACAGGAGAACAGCAGGCAAAGAAGTGAGAGAGCTGGCTGAGGCCACATGAAGAAGAGTGTTGTCTGTCGTGCTGAGGTTTGAATTTTATCCAGAAGAAATTGGAGAACCATTACAAGATTTTAAGCCAGAAAGTTATCACATTGCCGATGGAATGGAAGCTATCATGAAGGAGGATGAAGGGGAGCGTATAAAAGGGTTCAGAAGATATATAAAATTGAGAATACCAACTATCTCTGAAAAAGTTAAGGTTCCTTATCTTTTGTCCCCAGCCCTCTCAGTGCCCATCTGATGGGAAATGGTTAATTGCTTTGTGCTGTCAAGCTACATGTATCAATGAACTATAATGTCAAATGTAGAAATTAGCTTATTTCCTTTCTCCTTCCTTGCAACCAAAGAATCATACTACAAGTACTTATCTTAGGCAGAAAAGGAGAAACAATTCCTTTTTGTCCATGAGGAAGTTAATCAATTAAGATCATAAAATTGTACAATAAAAATAAGGTACATGAACCTTTAGAAAAACATTCTCTTGTCAAATGGTCTTCCTGAATATTCTTGCCAAAACACATAGTTCATTAATTGGGCTGAGAAGAAGCTATTGCTCTTATCAGACTGTCTAGAGGATATTAAAAAGTGCGTGTGTGTGTGTATATTTATTTTTATTGAGCTTGATAGGTCTTTTATGTCTAAGAAGCTGCTTCTGTTTGCACAGGGCAAACAAGGGCAGACAGGGTCCCCAAAACACAAACTAAACAACTTCAAAGCTTATGTGATGATGAGATAGATTCCTGGCACATGTAAAATGTATTGGGACATTTATTAATGTTGATATGCTTATTACTGTTGATGTAATCGATTACATACTGACATACAAATGCTCCAGATATAAAGATGAAAGAATTTCTATTAGTTGGCCAAATAACATTAATTTATATCAACCATTACATTTCTTATACCTCTAGAATACCAGATTCACACTTATAATTATTATTATTAGTAGTAGTAATCCACAAATTATT